TATGGTGGTCTCCTAACTTATGCTGGGTGGCACCTCTCTTTGTATGAATGCAGATGTTCAGTTAATGACAAACAGCTGCACTTAAGAATTCTGACTTGATAGTCATTTGTTCCCACAACTTGGTGTGGCCTTGGCCAGATCAGGACCGAGAACAGGAGAGGTGGGCCAAGTGCACTCCTGAAAAAAACCTCTGGGTGTTCATTTTCATGTCATCTACTGGCCTTCTCCAAGCGCCAGCTGATGCTGTGAATTCTGGTTCTGAACAGGTAGGCGGGCACCTGTGTGTAACGTGAGTGTGTGCCTGTGTCTGGGGAGGGAGCAGTGTCCAACCAATTACATTTCTTTGGTTAAGAACTCATTGATGATGGCTCTGAAGAAAAGCGTCACCCCTTTTAGCAGGAAGCAATTAGAGACCCTTCAACCCTTTTCTCTGAAGCAATTCAGAGCCAAGACCCTTGAGGGGGGATGTTATAGGCAGTTAAACAGACATGAGCAGAGCAAGGACCAGGTACAGGTCACCAGGGTGAAAAGCCCCAGGTGCAAAGCCCCAAGTACCTAGTAAGGACAATCGAAGGGTAAGACTGCCCCCAGTGTGACCTTTCCTCCCCTAGCATATCGCTGGTCATGCGTTTTGGAGCCCCCACCTTTCTTCCGTAAAGATAACATCTAGGCCTCAGTGGTATTCCAGCTCCAAGCCCAGAACAATAGCAAAACCAGCCACTGGCTGACCTCAGGACCAGCTGCATCAAATGATGGTCCCCGACCTGAAGCCAACCAATCAGTGGAGACCACAACCCTGAAAGGACACACCTGGAAAGCTGCTGAATATAGCGAGATCTTTCCCTGGGAACTCCCCTAAGATAAAACCATTAGGACAGAGGACCCAGTGCTCTCCCTCCCCCTGCACATTACCATTAGCGTCCTCAGTCCCAAGCTCCTAGGGCCTTTCCATTGTCTCTATAACTTGTTTCCTAAGCCCATTTCTTCTAGGAATTACTTCTTTCACCTCTGTAATTTTATCAAATAAATGTTCTCTTGCAAAAAAAAACCCCACTAATTCAACATCTGACATTTTTCATGATGCTTTCTACATTGCAAAAAGGAGATAAAAGCACCGTATAATGACAGACAACCTTTAGCATTTTACATTTAAAGAATGTAACCTCATTCCTCCCTGTGGCAGGGAAGTGTGGTTACCACCTGTGGCAGGCAGAATAATGTCCCCTCCCTCCAAAGATGTCCATGTCCTAACCCCTGGACCTGAACTCTACATGACAAGAGGGGCTTTGCAGCTGTGATTATGTTAGGGATCCTGAGATGAGATGAACCTGGGTTGTCTGGATGGGCCAATGCAATTGTTTTAAGTGCAAGTCAGAGAAGGAAGAGAGCTGGAGTCAGCCAAGGAGATGTGGCACATCCAACCCATTTTTCTGAGAGTAACTGGTTAATTTTATCTTTAAGACTCTGGTTATTGACTTCTGGAAATGTGAGTTCATGTAGCATTAAGGTAATGGGTGTTTGTATTTACCAAAAGGCCTGAGAAATAAAAGTTCTATAGTAGGATCGTTAATGAAGTTAATAGTAACGTATATGGTTTCAATCCTAAAGGCTGTATTTGTATTTATACTTTCTTAGTAAAATGCTCCTTTATGAGAAAATCCTTGTACAAAATTGAAGGCTTGGACTGTGCTGGATTTTGACCACCAGGAAGAAGCGGGGGATGCTTGGAGGCAATGCCCACCATTGCTTAAGGGCATGGGGTGCTGAGGGGTGGGCACCAAGGCAGCAGGCAAAGGAGGTGGCCAGAGTGGTTGGTTACACTAAGCAAATAAACCACCAGATTGAGAAAATACAGAGTCTTTTACAGCTGGAGGAGGCATTTGCAAACAGAAAGGGAGAAGGCTAGAAAACCTAGAGGTGTTGGATTGGAACTGAAGGTATGGATATTAATTTTAAAACTATAGCCCAGCTGGCGTGGCTCAGTGGTCGAGCATCGACCGATGGTCCAGGAGATCTCCGATGGATTCCGGGTCAGGGCACAGGCGCAGGTTTCAAGCTCAACCCCCAGCAGGGGACGGCACGAGGCAGCGATCAATGACTCTCATTGATGTTTCTCTCCCTCTCCCTTCCTCTCTCTGAAATCAGGAGGTAAAAATATATTTTTAAAAAATACACGTGGCGCCTGTGGACGGGACCTTAACATTGTTTGGACAGTGACTTCCTGGCGAGGGGGCTGGGATGGAGCGTGTCTGCTTTGGGGAATCACGCCGTGTGCAGTGCGCGGTCTCGAGCGGCGCAGGGACCGAGTTGGGGGCCGGTGGGCTGCAGAGGCGCACACGCGCCGCAGGACGCTCGCCACGCCTGGCTCCATGTTCGCGCTCCTGCCGGCTGGCTCAGCTGGGGACCCACGACCAGCGC